ACCACCCAAACTTCTACTGCCGAGAGTCCTAGCAGCCCTTCCACCACGCAATCTACTACTGCCGAGAGTACTAGCAGCCCTTTGACCACCCAAACTTCTACTGCCGAGAGTCCAAGCAGCCCTTCCACCACGCAATCTACTACTGCCGAGAGTACTAGCAGCCCTTCGACCACCCAAACTTCTACTGCCAAGAGTACTAGCAGCCCTTCCACTACCAAAACTACCACTGCCAGGAGTACTATCAGAACTACCACAAATGGTGAGTATCAGTGTTTATATGGTCTATTTGTTCAGTCTTTCCTATTTTAAACTTTTTAAAATTCCATGACAATTTTTTCCTTTTCTGTGATCAAATTATGGTGACCTTTTGTCTAAAGCACAGGCTGGATCTTTTAATTTTTTTAGAATGGATTCAGTTTAGGTCTGATTGTATGCATGGGATTAGCCACTATTTGTCACATTTCTATCTAAAATGACATAGTGCCTTGTATGTGTACCTGTGACCGAAGCATAATCATATGAGGTGATTCTCCTTCCATTACATCTGGATGATATTTGTGGCTTTCCCTGTAGACAAGGGCTGCCCCCTTGTCTCTTACTACTGGGGGCTCCTGTCTGGGGTGGCTAAGAGTGATAATTCAGCAGCAGCTGAGAGGCCACAGGAAGCTCCCATCTGTTTGGGGAAGTTGGGAGATTGGACCCCTCCTTTGTGACATGACTGCCTTGTGCCAAGTTCTAGAGTCAGGGCACACTAATCATTAATAGGTTTGTGCAGATTATTTCATATTCACTGAATAATTGATTTTAATTTGGTCTTGCCAAATTTTGATTTGAAGGAGGCCTGTTATGCAGAACTCCCTCTCCAATGTTCCTTTGGAGAAATTGTTAATGATTAAGATTTTTGTACTTATTGGAATAATTGCATTGCAGTGTTTGCATCTTAAGAAAGGAAACTCAGTACTGATTCAGAACATCAACTAACATTTAAAAATGATGAATGTTTCTCTATGAAAAAAGAGGCAAGAACTTTTTTAAAAAATAAAAACATTCTTAATTGCCCTGATTTCATTTTCCACTTCATTGCTTTAAAATGATCAGCTTCCCACTCTTCCTGTCAGCTAATGTCACGTTAGCAGCTGAAAGAGTGAGGAGCAATTTGGCATCACGTGAACGCATGTCAGCTCACTTCATTTATCTGCTACATTGTTTATTTTTAATACATGCATACTGTGATAAAGAATTATATTTCTATGTAAATTGCTGCATTGATTGTAACTTTCAAATTAGATCTGTATAAGTGGACTTCTCTGTTCTAGAGATATGCCTCAATGGTGGAATCTATGATGGAATCAAGTGCATCTGTAATGAAGATTTATTCTATGGGCCCAAGTGTGAGTTCCTTGTGGATGTAATTCCAATCACTGAATGTAAGTACAATCAGGGAGAACGTGATTACTTTTTCCTGAGAGCAGCCAAAAATGAATTGTTTCTTCCAGATATGTTGAATTATCATACTAGAATAAGGAGATTGCATATGGAAGCTCCTTTATAGTGCAAGTAAACCAGGAACTAGTAGAGAAATAGATAGCTCTCCGTTTCCAGTTCTCTCTGGCTTCAGAGAGGCTTGTAATTTGGCAGCTCCAAGCAAAAGTGATTAATTTGGACCTAATGTTTTCCCCCAAATGACTGGGAGCTCTCATGAATAGCTGAGAAGGTATCTCGGTCCTATGCTGAATAAAGTTTTTTCATCTAAGGAGAATCATGGAGGTGAGATTTGGAGATTGCCTCAAAATGCAAAAAACAAACCAAAAAAACTAGTATCAGCACAGGATTGTTAAAAACAGATCATTCCAAACCAATCTTTCATTCTTTGACAAAATGACTAAATTAATAGAGCAGTGAAATACTGTGGACATAGTATACTTATAGTAACTTATAGTATGCTTAGTATATAAGATCCCTTACCTGATGTGACCTTCTCATCACAAGATCTACTGATCATACTAAGACTTTATAAGTAGAACAACAACACTGACATTTCCTAAATTCTGCTGAAGATGTTACCTACCCTGGTAATGAAAGAATCAGAAATCAATGCATAGATTCGGAGAAGGAACTTCTATCCTCATCCTACACCCGAGCTATGGATATTCACCACTATTACACAGTATATTTAGATTTCAGTAAAACATTCAATAAAGTAGACTATAATCTACTTCTGGGTAAGCTAGAAAAATGTGGAATAGACAGCATCACCACCAGATGGATTGGTAACTGGCTGGCAAATGTTACTCAACATGTAATCAGGGTGGGATTCAGTTTTTTTAACACCCTGTTCTGTGGCCATGGCTTAGTTGGTGGCCCTGGCTTGGTGGTCATGTGACTGGGTGGGCGTGGTCAACTCAACATCACTCATGTCAAGGGGCACTTCTCCTCGCCTGACTTCTCATGACAGTGGGGATGCTGCAATGGTTATAAGTGTGAAAAAAGGTCATAAGTCATTTTTTTCAGTGCCATTGTAACTTTGAGTGGTCACTAAATGAACTGTTGTAAGTCAAGGATTACCTGTACAAAAATACAAAAAAGCTTCTTTGCTTGCAAAAAGCTGCCCTAAATACCAATCATTAGATTAAAAATACCTGCAAGCCAGAGTTACAAATCAGGCAGGGTGCCAGAGCACCTTGAGGAATGAAAATCGTTAAAATGCAGTGATAACTATCAAGCAGCCATCTCTTGCTCATAAAGTGAAACCCTTTAGCAGAGAGATCATTTAAGCTCTCCAGAAAAAGCATATCCAGGAAAAGCAATCCTTAGATCCATTTGCACCCCTTAAAGATACCAGCTGGTTTCACTCACCTCAGAAGATATTCTAAGGAAATCATCCAGATTTAAAGAAAGATCACATGCCCCCCAGAAAGGCAGAAAAAAAATCAGTGCCAAGCTTGCATCCTGCCTCTTAGAAGTATACCCCAAAAGGACAGTGCCAGATAGTATTAAAGCAGTGAGGAAGATCCCCTCCCCAGATAGAAAAAGAAACCATGAGGCAGGAAAAAATTCAAACACAATACACCTAATTAAATCACAACAGTAGCTGTTGCTTGTTGAAGCTGAATAGGGAAAATTATCCCATCAATAAACACACCAAGCACAGAATTAACCTTCACCAAAAACCAGTTTTAAACCAAAACTCAGAAAGGGTATGTAAACTCAGGTATGAATGTCAATCTTTCTAGCTAGCCAAGAAATCTTGCTGAATGCACTCATCTTGGTTCCCTGCCACTAAAAGCTCTGCTTCATTATTCAGTTATTTCTTCAAAGTGCTGATTGTCCAGGGAAGTATTTCCTCCCAACAGCAGTGTAAAAATCTTAAAACAACCCCTCCCCTTTAAGAAAGCCAAGCCTCAGAAGTTCCAGAAATAGGAAGTCTAGGCATTTTGGCAAGAATATAATAAGGGTGGAAGAAAGCAAAAAGAGATTGCTTCTAACTACTGGTTCTCCAAACTGCTTAGAAAGTTAACAAGGGGTTCTATAGAACTGGACAGAACCAGTAGAATCCCACCCCTGCACATAATCCTTAATGGTACTACATCTACATGGAAGGAAGGAAGCAGTGGGGTATCACAAGTTTCTGTCTTAGGCCCAGTATTCTTCAATATCTTCATAAATGACTTAGATGATGAATAGAAGGGGAACGCATCAAATTTGCAGGTTTCACTAAACTTGCAGGAATAGCCAACACCCCAGAAGACAAACTCAGGAAAAAAGCGAACCTTTTAGGCAGGAAAAAGCAAAGTTATGTACAGATTAGGTGAGACCTGGCTCAAAAACAGTAACTGAGAAACTGTGAGAAAAACCTTGGAGTGCATGATCATCTAAATATGAGTCAGCAGTGTGTGGCAACAGCCAAAAAAGCTAATACAATCCTTGGTTGTATAAACAGAGCAGTGGTGGGCTGCAAAAATTTTCACAACCAATTCCCTGCCCTAATGACTGGCTGGGTGGGCATGGCTGGGTGGGCATGTGACTGGGTGGGTGTGGCCAACTCGACGTCACTTCTTTGCCTAAAAGAAGATATACCAAAAGGTAGTTTATTATTTTATGCATTTAATACTTAAATAAGAACAATAAAAGAGGTACACAAAACAATAAAAATGGTACACAAATACTCACATAAGAACAATAGACGTGTTATTCAGCTTTCAGTAGTCCTACTTACTTATGAACAATCTTAATGCAAAATCCCCATTCCCACTCCAGAGTAAGGATCATGCAAAATTCCCATTCCCACTCCATCCCAGAACAACCTCAATTCCCTCACTAACCTGCATTCCAGCTCTGTTCTCCTGTCTAGGGCAACAAAAGAAGACCCAACCAGCAAATCCACTGTCCATGTAGATTAGCTGGGAGGCTGGGGGCATCCTTTGCAACCCTTTGTTTTTTTAAACAGCTTTTCTCATTCCATTGCCATATTTTCTTCTGTGACAGTATGTTTCCCCTGCACCTTACATTTGGACTGCACTCTCTTTGGCCAACTCCTTTTTTGAAAAAATACTTTCCTTACCAATTGTTTTTCTTCAGATTTTGCCTATATTCCCAACTATTAGCTTCCCCAAGTTTTATCCTGCACCACACAGGAAACCAAAATGGGGCACAGCCCCTTTGCACCTCATTTTAGGCTGGACGGCTTCCTGCACTACCCTGGAAGCCCAAAAAGGGTGTGGGGGACACCTGGGAGGGATGGGTTGGGGCCAGCCAGTGGTGGAATTTGCTGGTTTGCTGAACTCTGCAGAATCTTAATATCTGGTACACCCAAACAGGTATGAACTGGCAGCAACCTACCTCTGAAACAGAGGCATAGAATCAAAATTACATGAAGTATTAGTACTACCTGATAAAATATTAGTAAGCTACTCCTGCATCAGGGTTGGGATTCTACCTGTTTGCACCTATTTGCTAGAACCGGTTGTTAACATTCTAAGCAGTTTGGAGAACCGGTTGTTAGAAGAAATTACTGGCCTAATCCTATAACGAAGGCAGGAAAGAAACATTCTGTTGTTGCTTATACAAACTGCCTCTCCGTTAACCCTTATTACATTCTTGGCAGGACTAGACTTCCTGTTTCTGGAACTTCTCTGGAGTTTTTTTCCCTCTCCTTTGCTGGTACTTTGCTTGTGTGGAGTGACCATTCAAAGTTACAATGACACTGAAAAAAGTGACCCTTATGATCCCTTTTCACACTTACAACTGTTGCAGCATCCTCACAGTCATGAGAGGCCAGGTGAGGAGATGCGTGCCTCGATGTGAGTGATATTGAGTTGGCCACACCCGGCCAAGCCATATCCACCCAGTCACATGACCACCAGCCCATGCCCACCACCTAAGCCATGCCCACAGAACCAGTTGTTAAAAATTTTGAAACCCACCCCTGTCCTGCATCCAGTTTTGGTCACCACATTATTAAAAGAGACTTTGGGAAAAGTGCAGAGAAGAGCAAAGTATATTATTCTAAGGCATGGAGACAAAAACAATTGCAGGATTTGGGTATGACTAGTCTATAGCACTGATTCTTTACTTTTTGGGTACCAGGGACTGATTCTGTGGAGGGAGGTTTTTCCGCAGACCAGAAGGGATGTAATTTTACATGCTGCCTGGATCCCACTGATGAGGCTTTATTTGTTTGTGGTCTGCTGCAGGTCCATGGACTAGGGATTAGGGACCCTTGATCTAGAAAAAAAGGACTAGGGGTGACAGCAATATTCCAGTATTTGAGGGGCTGCCACAAAGAAGGGGGAATCAATTTATTTTCCAAAGCACCAAAGGACAGGACAAGAAACAAGGGATGGAAACTAATCAAGGAGAGAAGCAACCTGAAATTAAGGAGAAACTTCTTAACAGTGAAAACAATTAACCAATGGAACAGCTTGCCCTCAGAAGTTGTGGGTGTGTCATCACTAGAGGTTTTTAAGAAGAGACTTGAGAGCCTGAAATGGTAAAGAGTCTCCAGTTGAGCAGGAGTGTTGGACTCGAAGACCTCCAAAGTCTCCTCCAATTTAAAAATGTATCAGTAAATCAAAAATGGGTTTTCCAACCAGATGAGGATCTTTGGATTTAGGCATTTGAAAGCATGTTGGACAATGGGAATACATTCACCTCTTGCCTGTCACATTTTAGAATTCCTTTACAGGGGAGAAACTTGTTGAAGTTCATATGAATATCTCTTTCCCTCTCTTTTAGTAAAGGTGACCATTACTGTCGAAGCTCAGGTGAAAGTTACTAACAGAGAATACAATAAATCTCTGGAAGACTTAAGCTCTAAATATTCTCAGGAAATTCAGGCTCAGTTTAAAAAGCAGGTAAGATTTACTGGATCAAGGAAATAGCCTAACTCTGATCAATGTCACCATTTCAGTGTAATGTATCTTATACTTTTCTTTAACCAAGGCCATTCCTAATTCATATCAAGAATGTGTCTTCTTCCCAATCAATACTGATGGTGGAGGTAATTATCAATCAGAAACAGATGCTTTTGATAACAATATAGGTGCCAAACAATATTTTAATTTATTTTATTTTATTTTTTTGTCAAGCGATTATAAGATAACAGGTATAAGTATAACCATTGCTATGAATACATGAAATGGATACATATAAGAAAAAAAACAGTAGGACAGGGACGGTAGGCATGTTGGTGCACTTATGCATGTCCCCTACAAACCTCTTAGGAAAGGGGTGAGGTCAATAATAGAAAGTCTAAGGTTAAAGTTTTCGGGGTTTGGGAAAGAAACCACAGAGTCAGGTAGAGTATTCCAGACATTGACCACTCTGTTGCTGAAGTCGTATTTCCTGCAATCAAGTTTTGTGTGATTAACCTTGAGTTTCTATCTATTGTTTGTTCTTGTGTTGTTATGGTTGAAGCTGAAGTATTCATTGACTGGTAGGACATTGCAATGTATGATTTTATATACTATGCTTAGATCGTACCAAAGGCGACGTAGTTCTGGATTTTCTAGCTCTAGAATTTTGAGTGTTGGTATTCTGCAATGAGTAGAGGAGTGGAGAACTCTTCTTGTGAAATATTTCTGGACTTTCTCAACTGTGTTAATATCAGATATGTAATGTGGGTTACAGACTGATGAGCTGTATTTGAGTATTGGTCTAGCAAATAGTTTGTATGCTCTAGTTATTAGTGTAATATTACCAGAGAAAAAGCTACATAAGATTAGGCTAACAACTCTTCACGCCTTTTTGGCTATGTAGTTACAGTGGGCTCTTGCACTTAGATCATTAGAGATGAGTACTCCAAGATCCTTGACAGAGTTTGGATCATCAAGGTCTTGACTATTCAGCCTGTATTTTATTTTCTGATTTTTGACCACTCTGGGACAGAGCATTTATTTGTTGAAATTTGAAGTTGCCATTTGTTTAACCATTCTGATACATAGTCAAGGTCTTTTTGAAGGGTAGCAGTATTGTCTGTGGTGTTGAATAGCTTTACATCATGAGCAAAGAGAACGCAGTTGATATGATCACAGAGGTCATTTATGTAAAGTATGAAGAGAGCTGGTCCTAGAACACTGCCTTGGGGGACACCATTGTTGACAGATACAGAATTTGATAGGACGCTCCCAATTTTAACCATTTGTTGTCTGTTTGACAGGAATCTTTCTATCCAGTTATGGATAGAAGCAGGTGTCCAGAGATACCATAAGATTTTAGTTTTAGGAGTAGTTTGTTGTGTACCACTGAATCAAAGGCTTTACAGAAGTCTATGTAGATTGCGTCTATTGCTTTGCCCTGATCGAGTTGTGTAGTCCATATGTTTTTGCAGTGTAAGATTTGCAGATAACAGGATAGATTTTTTCTGAAACCAAATTGTTTATTGGAGAGTAGATTGTTTGTCTCTAAGTGGAGGATAATGGATTGGTTAATAATTGATTCCATGACTTTACAGGTGATGCAGCATAAAGACATTGGTCTGTAATTTTCAACTTTTTAAAGATGGGGATGACCGTGGCTTGTGACCATAGTTTTGGCAAAGAGCTGGTCCTGAAAGATTTCTCAAAGATTATGCTTAGAGGTTTGGCTATGGCAGTGGATAGCTTTTTTAAGAAATAGGCACATATTCCGTCTGGTCCAATAGATAGAGATGGTTTTAGATTGCATAGTGCTTTTTCAACATTGTCTTCTGTAAAATTGATATGTATATCATATGTACCGTATTTCCCCATGTATAAGCACCCCCTTTGTATAAGCCACCCCCCCAATTTTTGGACTGTGAAGTTTTGAAAAAAATATTTTATTAGAGAAACAAGTTATGAAGAAAGAAAATTTACAAAGAAACAAAATTCAAGATTCATAATAATCACTCATACACTCATCATCACTATCTGCTCCATCACATTCCACGTCTTCTTCAATATTATTGGCATCTAATTTAGCTAACAGTTCTTCTTCTTCCTCTGTGTCATCTTCATCGTCATCTTCATATATCAAATGATCTTCTGAACCATCAAGAGAATTAGATATTCCACATTTTTTAAAGGCTTTGACAATGATCTCGATCTTCACACTGTCCCAAGCCTTCTTTACCCACTTCAAAACTTCTCCAATTGATGGTTTCTTCAGTCGACCAGTTTTGGTAAGATTGTCTCCTGCTGTCGTCATCATGTAGTGGTTCCATTCTTCTCATAGTGCCACCTTAAAAGCTTTATTAATGGAAACATCAAGGGGCTGAAGCTGACAAGTCAGGCCACCTGGAATAACCGCAAGTTGGGTTTTCATAGTCTCGGCAATCTTCTTAACATCCTCAGTCAAGTGTCCCCTGAAGGAATCGAAGACAAGCAAAGCCGGTTTCTTAAGCAGAGCTCCTGGTCGGCATCCAAATATCTTCTTGAACCAAATTTGCATACCATCAGTATCCATCCAGCCTTTCTCATGCATGTGAAGAAGTATTCTGTTGTGAATTTCTTCTTTAGGGAAAGTCTTCCTCTTAAAAATCAACATTGGATTTAGCTTGGTTCCATCAGCAGCACAACCCAAGACGACAGTGTATCTGTTCTTCTCATTTCCAGTTGTCTTTATGGAAACTGTCTTGGCACCTTTCAGATCGACTGTTCTGTTGCTTGGACAGTCAAATGTGACTGGAGTTTCATCCATATTATAAATTTGAGAAACATCGTAATTCCAGTGCTTTCTAAGGTTGATGATGAACTTATGAAACTCCACTATTTTTGCTTCATAATCTTCAGGCATTCTTTGAGCAAGTCTGGTGCGAGTCCTCATTGACAGCTTCTCTCTCTTCATGAAGCGATAACACCAATTTGCTGAACCAGTAAAGTTTTCAACTTCTTTTTCTCTTGCTATTCTTTTGGCTTCTTGCAAAATCATCTTGGTTGTAATAACTACACCATGTTGACGTTGCTCAACTATCCATGTCTTCAATTCCTTCTCCAAATGTGGCCACTTGGCAGACTTTCCACGACATGCCTTTTTCATCCTTGGCATTTTTCGAAGTTTCTCTTCCTGCTTTCTCCATCTGATGATTGCCCTCCGATCTGGTGGAGGTCCAAATTCCCGCTCAGCTGCATGATTACCAAATTCTTTGGCAAACTTAATGACTTTTAACTTAAAGCTTGCAGTGTAGGCTTGTCTCTTCATTTTTCAGCCATTTTAGAATTTCAAAATAACACAGTAACGAATACTGTGTACAATCTTGCAAGTCGCACGAAAAAAAACGACGGTGCTGCAACACTGTCTGCCCCGTGATCGCCGGCAGGTCGACTGGACGGTCGCCGCCAAGCCCGGTCGGCGTCCGTACGGGCGGCGACAGACGAAAAAGCTTCAGACGAAAGTCGTCCGCGACGTCTAGATCTACAACTTCGGTCATGACATCGAAAGCGGTGCGGGCAACGCTAGCAATCTACGCATCGGAACGAGAGTAGGAACGAAGCATTCAGGCCGATGCCTAGCGTATGCATTTCTATCGCGTACTCGCACTCGTAATCGTATCATCACTTACAATTTTTACAAAAAAGTATAGCATACTGCTGGAAAACCAGTTTATTCCTACTTTATTATTTTATGCATTTTTCACGTATAAAAAGTGTACCTGCTTTGTATATGCCACCCCCTACTTTTTGGGCTTGAAAATTTTGGAAAAAAGGGGTGGCTTATACATGGGGAAATACGGTATATATGTATATATGTGCATATATGTATTACATTTATGTAATACAGCACAAATTAAATTTAATGGAAAAAGAAGAATTGACACAACAAATTAAAAAAAATTGAAAATGCCAATAAACTAGGAAGATGGTTGGCATATACATTTAAAAAGGAGAAAGAGAAGAAACTGATAAATAAACTAGAAGATGAGAGAGGAACTTTCCAATATGAAAATGAGCCCCAAAAGGAAATAATTCTGGAGTTCTATGGGAAATTATATGATCAAGAAAAAATTTCAGAGGAAAAGATAAAACAATATCTAGAGAAGGCTAAATTACCAAAAATGTTTGAAAATGTGAGAGCAATATTAAATGAAAGAATAACAATGATGGAATTAACAGAGGCAATAAATAGACAAAAGAATTTTTAAAAATCACCAGGACCAGATTGACTACCAGCAGAAGTGTACAAATATCTTCATGATATATTGAATTTGTCAGTGCTAGAAGTTTATAATGAAGTATTATTGGAAGCTGTTAAACTTATGGAAAGAAGCAAATATTACATTAATACTGAAAGAAGACTCAGATTTAACACAGGTATCAGTCTATATCACTATTAAACTCAGATTATAAAATATTTGCATCAGTAATAGCAGAAAGACTAAAAAGATTTTTGAATGAATTTATCCATTCAGATCAAAATGGATTTTTACCCAACAGACAAATTAAGAACAATATAAGAGTTATCTTAGATATGTTGGAATATTATGAAACACACTGATAAACAGATGGCATTGATTTTTTTAAATGCACAGAAAACATTTGATAATGTAAATTGGCAATTCATGTCACAACAGTTAGAATGTATGGATTGTGGTGAGAAGTTTATGAACATAATTAAGACAATATACTCCAAACAAATGGCAAAAGTGATAGTGAATGGGGACTTGACAGCAAACTTTTAACATAAAAAAAGTCACGAGACTAGGATGTCCACCGTCCCCATTACTATTTATATTAACATTGAAAGTATTAAATAGAGGTATTAGACAGGATCCAGAAATAAAAGGCTTGGAAATAAAAAGAGAAAAATACAAATTAAAGCATTTGCAGATGACCTGGTATTTATTTTAGAAGAACCATTGGAATCCGCCCTAAATTAATAGAAAAATTGAGGAGTATGAAGAAGTAGCAGGGCAAGAATAAATAAAGAAAAACAAAAATACTAGCTAAAAATCTTACAGATAAACAGAAAAATTAACTGACAAAGAAAATAGGCTCTCAGGTAGTTAAAAGTAAAATATTTGGGAATGTATTTAACAGCTGGATGTGCAACTATTAAAGAAGATAACTATATAAGGTTAATATAACAAATTAAACTTGACCTGGAGAATTGGAAACATTTGCAATTGTCAATGATAGGAAGAATAGCAACTATAAAAATGAATATTCTGCCAAAACTACTGTTTCTGTTTCAAACGATTCCTATAAAACTAGGGAAAAAAAATACTTTGATGAATTAAATGCAATAATTTTGAAATATGTTTGGCAAGGGAAAAGAGTGAGAATAAGATTGAAAATGTTACAAGACTCAAGGAAGAATGGGGGCTTTGGACTGCCAGATTGGGAGCTTTATTACCAGGCCTCTGCACTAACATGGGATACATTTGAGAAATAGAAGATTGTTAGAGCTGGAGGGACAGGACCTCTAAGTATGATAGCATGCCTTCTTGTGGTATGGAAAAAATAATGCTTTCAAAGACTTTATGTAAGGAACGCTCTAGTCTTGATATGGAAAAAAGTTAAAGCAAAAAATTATATGAAAATTCCAGTCTGTCTTTCTGCAATGGAAGCAGTGACACGTCCAAATGTTGTAAATTTGGGGAAAAAATTGTAACGAGAAAGAGGAACTTTAAACTAAACAGAAACTACAAAATGAAGGTGTGGACCAGTGGTGGGATTCAATTTTTTTTACTACCGGTTCTGTGTGCGTGGCTTGGTGGGCGTGGCAGGGGAAGAATACTGTAAAATCTCCAGGCAGAGGTGGTATTTGCCAATTCTCCAAACTACTCAAAATTTCCACTACCAGTTCTCCAAAACTGGTCAGAACCTGCTGAATATAGACCATTTGCAAATACAATCAAGATATGTGGAAGATGTTAAAATATATGGTTTTTATAAAGAATAAACACCACTTGATCGGATACTATTAGGAACAGATGAAAAATTTAAAAATATATAGTTATTTATTAAGCCTTAAAATGAAAGATGAACAAGTGAAAGAAACAATAATAGTATGAACAAAAAACTTTGGATATACAGTAGAATTAGACAAGTGGAAAAAACTCTGAGATAGAAATTATAAATTGACAGTGGCAACTACGTACAAGGAAAATGCTTTACAGATGGCATTTGCCACCGGCAAGACTAGCAAAGATCTTTAAAAACATGTCCACCAAATGTGGGAAATGTAACTACACACCAGGCTCTTATTACCATGTGTGATGGACCAATGGTGGTATGCTACCAGTTCAGCCTGGTTCTGCCGAGCCAGTAGCGGTTATGAGCAGTGGAGACTAAACTGGTTCTCTCCACTGTTGGGCCCATCTGCCCACCTGGGCTTCCATACTCACCTTTATCCTCTGAATTTGAAGCACAGCTGCTTTGCGTGGCACAAAAGGTGCCACACGGCAGCTGCTGAAGCAACCGGGAGAGTGCAGGCTTACAGGAGGTGAGTTCGAACAGTGCAAACAAAAGAAAGTACGTGTTTGGCACACATGTGCATGCAAAGTGTGTGCATGCGTGCAAATCACACCCACCAAGCCACACCCATTGAACCGGTGGTAAAAGTTTTTGAATCCCACCACTGTGATGGACATGTCCAAAGGCAAAAAAAAAAATGGATGAAAATACATACATGGCTAAAAAAAATGATAAAACAACATATAGACTTAAAACCAGAAATATTTTTGTTAGGTATACTGCCAGAAAAAAATGATAAAAGGGAGGTATATTTAATATTACATGTTTTGACAGGAGCGAGAATTGTATTTGCACAACATTGGGAAAATGAGGAAATCCCTGCAGAGGAAAATACTGTATAATCAGAAAAATATTAGACTGTGTGGAAATGGATAGATTAAAGATAAAGGGCAAAGAAGTCACAAAATACTTTTTAACTTGAGATTTGTTTTACCATTGGTTAGATAATAAAGGTAGAAATTGGAAATTGGAAGAATATCACTATATACAGTATAAGTAAAGAATGTTATTACTGTTATTTCTATGTTATCACTATATATTTGTAAATTGACTCAGACAATACACTGCTTACTAAGCACTTACATATGTTAAAGAAAAATGTGTAAATATGAAACTCACTTCTTGGATTATCAGCTTTTTGCAGCTGGAGAATTAAACAAGATATAGCATACACCACACACTCAGTGCTTCAGGAGGCTGGCTTCTAATTAAAGTTTCTTTGTTTATGAAGGCTTTCTTTTACTTTTTTTTCCCTTATAGATGAAAGATGTTTATAGTGCTGTCCCTGGATACCATGATGTGGAGATCTTAGGAATGAGGTCGGTGTCTAAAAAGAGACTAAATTATGCTTTGGGATGATAAGCCAACAAGTGATCTTGAATATGAGTAGAAGTAACTCCTCTTCAGATTTCTTTTTTTAACAATATGGATAGACCAGGGCCTGAGCATGTCTTTCTTATTTATTTATTTGTTTGTTTGTTTATTTGTTCGTTAGAATTTGTCAAAGAAAAAGAAAAACAAGAAAAAAAGAATAAAAATACAATGACAGGGACAATAGGCACATTAGTGCACTTATGCACGCCCCCTCTACTAACCACTTAAGTATGATGTAACGTCCACAGAAGTCAATTTGTGACTGAAACTGAAAATTTGTAGCTCAAACAACTGAATCAGGTAGAGCATTCCAGACATTGACAACTCTATTACAGAAATCATATTTTTTACGGTCAAGTTTAGAACAATTTACATTGAGTTTAAAGTCGTTGTTAACTCGCATATTATTGCGATTAAAACAACAAGGTCATTTACAGGTAAACCATTGCTGCATATAATTTTGTATGCAATACCTAATATACTTTCAGTCACCATATGTTTCAGGAAGCACCTGAGCAGGGTGAAAAGTGTTCTTGCAAGTTAAAGCAGTCAGAATTAGACTAAAGTCCAGGTTGAAATCCCACTCAGTTGTCAAACTGCCAGAGGAACTTTGGCATAGGCTGAAACTTATTTTAAGCTCTCTCAGAAAACTGTTGTGTGGATTAAATGGAGTAGAAATGGAGTACAAGTACTAGTTCATTTTGTATTTGATGGAGGAAAAGGGTGGGACTATCACAGTCTTTAGCATACATTCATGGAGCAATAAGGGGCATTCAGCATCTGAGGAATTGTTCTTCCTTCATTGTTCTCTTAGGAATGGCAGTGTTATTGTGGACCACAAAGTCATCTTCCAAGCACAAATAGAGAATAATGAGAAAATGATCCAGCAGCAGATGACAAATATTACAGAGGGAGTGAGGAATTCCTTGGCAGAAATCCAAAGTGATGAGCATTGTTCCAGGGATTCAGGTATGGTCTAGCTTGGTAAACTCCTCTGCTTGAATGTGATTTCCTTTGACTGACAAATAAGCAAGATTCCTGGCTGCTTGTTCTTTTAGGCAAGAGTGTTTTTAGAATAAATCACCTTTTTTCTGCAGGATCAAACATACTTTTGGGTGGCTTACCCCTTGCCACAAAATGTAATAATGTGGGGTAGAGCAAGGTACCATATCTGTGCTGCTAATCTCAAAATAGCCACGTTTGTTGTTGTTAGTTGCAAAGTCATGTCCAACCCATCACCACCCCCCATGGGAAATGTTCCTCCAGGCCTTCCTGTCCTCTATCATCCCCCAGAGTCCATTTAAGTTCATTCCGACTGCTTCAGTGACTCCAACCAGACACCTCCTTCTCTGCTATCCCTTCTTCTTTTGCCTTCAATTGTTCCCAGCATTAGACTCTTCTCCAGTGAGTCCTTCCTTCTCATTAGGTGGCCAAAGTATTTGAGTTGCATCTTCAAGATCTGGCCTTCTAAAGAATGGTCAGGGTTGATCTCCTCTAGGACTGGCCAGTTTGATGACCTTGCAGTCCAAGGGACTCGCAGGAGTCTTCTCTGGCTTGAACCATAGTTCAAAGGCCTCAATTCTTTGGTGCTCAACATTCCTTTTGGTCCAACTTTCACAGCTATACATTGCACTGGGAAAACCATAGCCTTAAAAACACTTTAGTTGGCAATGTCTCTGCTTTTTGGCCTGCTGTCTAGATTTGCCATAGCTTTCCTCCCCAGGAACAAATGTATTTTAATTTCTTGGGTGTAGTTCACATCTGCAGTGATCTTGGAGCCCAGGAAAATAAAATCTGTCACTACCTCCATTTCTTCCCCATCTATTTGCCAGGAATTGAGAGGGCTAGATGCTATGATCTTAGTTTTTCTTAATGTTGTGTTTCAAGCCAACTTTTGCACTCTCCTCCTTCATTCACATCAAGAGGCTCTTTACTTCCTCTTCACCTTCTGCCATTAGGGTGGTATCTGAGGTTTTGATATTTCTCCTGGCAATCTTAATTCCAACTTGTGATTCATCTAGCCCTGCCTTTCTCATGATGTGCTCTGCATATAAGTTAGATAGTCAGGCAACAATATACAGCCTTGCTGAACTCCTTTCTCAATTTTGAACCAATCAGTGGTTCCATGTCCAGTTCTCACTATTGCTTTTTGACCCGCATATAGGTTTCTCAAGAGACATATAAGAAGGTCTGGTACTCCCATTTCTTTAAATACTTGCCACAATTTGTTGTGATCCACACAATCAAAGGCTTTAGCATAGTCAATGAAGCAGAAGTAGATGTTTTTCTGGAACTTCCTAGCTTTCTCCATGATCTAGCGTATGTTGGCAATTTGATCTCTAATTCTTCTGCCTCTTCAAAATCCTGCCTGTACTTCTGGTAGTTCTTGGTCCACATACTGCTGGAGCCTAGCTTGTAGGATTTTGAGCATAATTTTGCTAGCATGTGAAATGAGTGCAATGGTGCGGTAGTTTGAACATTCTTTGGCATTGCCCTTCTTTGGAATTGGAATGTAAACTGACTTTTTCCAATCCTGTGGCCACTGTTGAGTTTTCCAAATTTGCTGGCAAATTGAGTGTAGCACTTTTACTGTATCGTCCTTAAAGATTTTGAATAGCTCGGCTGGAATATTGTCACCTCCACTCGCTTTGTTGTTGCTCAGAGTGCTTCAGGCCCATTTAACTTCACATTCCAGGATGTCTGGCTTGTGGTCAGTGACCACCCCATCATGGTTATCAGGGATGTTGAGCTTGTTCTTGTATGGTTCTTCTGTGTAATTTTTCCACCTCTTTTTAATCTCTTCTGCCTCTGTTAGGTCCATGCCATTTTGGTCCTTTACCATGCCCATCTTTGCATGAAACATTCCCTTCATATCTCCAATTTTCTTGAAGATGTCTCTGGTCCTCCATATTCTATTGTTTTCTTCTATTTCTTTGCACTGTTCATTTAAGAAGGCATTCTTATCTTGTCTAGCCATTCTCTGGAATTCTGCATTCAATTGGATTAGCTTTCTCTTTCTCTCTTTTGCTTCCCTTCTTTCCTCAGCCATTTTCCTCAGACAGCCATTTTCCTCAGACAGCCATTTTCCTTTCTTGCATTTCTTTTTCTTGTGATGGTTTTAGTTGCTACCTCTTGTACAATGTTGTGAACCTCCATCCATAGTTCTTCAGGCACTCTGTCTATCAGATCTAATTCCTTAAATCTATTTGTCACCCCTACTGTATATTCATCAGGGATATGATTTAGTTCATACCTGAGTGGCCTAGTGCTTTTCCCTATTTTCTTCAATTTAAGCCTAAATTTTGCAATGAGAAGCTCATGATCTGAGCTATAGTCAGCTTCTGGTCTTGTTTTTACCTACTGTATAGAGCTTCTCCATCTTTGGCTGCAGAGCACATAGTCAATCTGATTTCTAAGTTGACCTTTTGGTGATGTCCATATGTAGAGTCATCTTGGGTTTTGGAAAAGAGTGTTTGCTGTGACCATTGTATTCTCTTGACAAAATTTTACCATCCTGTTCCCTGCTTCATTTTGTACTCCAAGGTTAAACTTGCTTCTTATTCTTTGGTGTTAATTCTAGAAGGTATTGTAGGGCTTCATAGTACTGGTCAACTTCAGCCTCTTCAGCACCAGTGGTTGGGGCATAGACTTGGACTACTGTAATGTTGAATGGTTTGCTTTCAATTTGAACTGAGATCATTCTGTCATTTTGGGGATTGTATCCTAGTACTGCTTTTCCCACTCTTTTATTGACTATGCCTACTCCATTTCTTCTGAGAGATTCTTGCATGCAGTAATATACCTGATGGTCATCTGAGTTATTCACCCATTCCTGTCCATTTTAGTTCTCTGATTCCTAAGATGTCGATGTTCAGTCTTGTCATCTCTTGTTTGACCACATCCAGCTTGCCTTAATTCATGGATCTTACATTCCAGGTTCCCATGGAGTATAGATCTTTACAGCATCAGATCTTCCTTTCACCATCAGATACATCCACAGCTGAGCGTTCTTTCAGCTTTGGCCCAGTCACTTCATTCTTTCTGGCGCTAGTAATACTAGCCCTCTGCTCTTCCCCAATAGCATATTGGACACCTGCTGATCTGAGGGGCTCATCTTATCTAAAATAGCCACTAGATGGTGGCAAACACATATTATTTTCCTGAATGAAGGCAAATATAAGTATGCCTGGATAATGTTGCAGGATCCAATGTGGATCGGCCACTGGGGCCACTCTTCCAAGCTTTCAGATTCACGCTGGAGCCCATCCACAGGGATCTTCCCTTTACCAGAATATGTGCTTTGGGCTATTTTATGGATCATATTTATGTGTTGTTGTCTTCCTGTTGGTTGACTGGTGTGTTGATAGCATGTGATTGGCTGCTGTTTCCTTGTGCTGCCAAGCCCTTGGCTCTTACGTACTTGATAAACTGATAATAAATCAGCCCTTCTGTTGAGTGACGGGAGGCCCATTTTCCAGACTTCAATCATTTACATGGCTAGCTTTGTAGCTGCATGGGCAACAATCTTAGTAGTTTTGAACTTGAATGTATGTCATTGTTCATTGAAATGTAAGGCTATCCATGAGTTTGGCATTCTCGTCTGACTGCTTACTTGTATCCTTACTTATTTCGCATCTGTCCTCCATAGTCATGGGGCAATCCATGCAGGGGATCCAGTAGATTACACTAGAAGTATATCTCACCTCCAAGAGATCTTTGTAATGCAGGATTTGTCCTCATGTAATAGCCTCTGGACAGTGTGTGATCCCACTTGTAAATCTCGGCAGCTGTGTTCTGCTGCTTCTGAAATGTTTTTGATGTATGGCAGGGTGTGCCAAATAACTGGCCTTGTACCTTCTTTTTTCCTTTCTCTCCTTTGAATGCTGCCCAGGCACTTCTAAAAAAATGCTTGTAGGTACCCCGTCTGCCTGAATTGTTCATGTAGGTCCCAATTGTTTAGCTTTCTGGGTACTAAAATGGGTTGTCACCCTGCCATATAGTGTGCGATGATTTAGGACAAACAGGGAGGAAGCTAACCACCAGATTGCAAGAATGCAAGTGAGTGGTCAGACAAGGAGACTTGTACTCATTGGTACCCTCACAGTGCAATGAACAAAGACATACATTCAATTTCGAACCTACTAAAATTGTTGGCCATGCAGCTATAAAGATAGCTTTGTAAATGATTGAAGCCTGGGAAACTGGGACTCTTGTCAGGCAACAAAAGACTTTTTAAAACCTTAAACTTAGATACGATGAATGTTTGACATATCATTTGATGATTTATTTTCCCCAGATTACTTCAAAAGGATAATTATGTTGGTGCAATGGTTTCTATTTAATATCACAATGTTTTTACTGCAGAAGAATCTTGAAGGAAATATACAGTTATACAACCACCCCAGATAACTAATTCATACATATTTTTTTTCAGGACCAGAACTATGCTTTGTTCCTTTACCTAACTCGATTCTTAATTCAAGTTATTCATTCAATGGTAAGTTTCAGTAAACAGTTGGGTAGATGTGTTAGAGATATAGGGTGTAGCTCTCCCTGTGTATCTTCTTGTTCTTCCACTGAAATAAAAAGGTAAAATTGATGCCTATGTGAAACTATTTACTGCCAAAAATTGATTTAAAAAAATATATAATGTGCACAAGAGTGCTAAAGCAATAGCAATACAAAGCAGGCAGAATTTTATTTTATTTTCCCACTTAAATTGACTTTCTGTGCAGCATCTCAAGGGGGCAGTGAATAAGTTTGGCAACATTGGTTCAGTATATTGTTCAAGGATGCCACTTGTCCACATCAACCACTTACCAACTTTGGAAAATACCAATGAGCATCCTGAAGGCAGATGACTCTGAGGAAGCCAGTGAGTTGCCTCTTTCACAGTTCAAGCCAAAATAACATGGAAATGGTGCTCAGCCCCAGAGAGAAGAAGGCATCTCAGCAGCCACTTTATTGATGGAGTGTATCAGATGCTACCTGTAGTAAAATGTGCTTGGAGAAAAGAGAAAGCACATCTTAAAACTAGAATAGCTAAGGGCAAGTTTAATCACAGCAGATTGGGAATAGAGAAAGTAGCATAATTATTAAGTATTTCTTAACAAATGGAGAAAAAATCAGAAATATTGAGGAAATATTTGAATAATAATGGAAAAATGAGTGGAAAATTCAAAGTTGAGGAACAAGAATGAAGAAAATATAAAAGGGGCTTGGGGTTGTTTTAGCTAAAACACAACCTGGCCATAAGTGAATACTGTATTATACTATAAATAGCATAGAAACTGAAAGAAAAAAAGCTAAAGATACGCTATGAGTCTATGACACACTTATGCTATGGTTAAAAAGACAGGAGGAAGAGGTCAAAGAAAGATGGAAAAGATGAGTTTTTAGTGCCCACATCTGTTCTGTAATAGAATTTTAGTGCTTCTTTGTAGAGCTGTCCTACCTATAAATTATTTCAGTTCTTACAGTCTCGATTCTTTCTCTCTCCCTCTCCCTCCCTTTCTCTCTTTCTCTCTCTCTCCCCCTCCCTCCCCCCTCTTTATCTCTGAAGTTGTAGTATCATAATGACAACTCATTCTTGCTCATCTTACTATCTTTTATTATCTACCATGGAAGGATATTTTTCAAAACTGGTTTTGTACTCTACATGGGGCAGTTGGTGTAGGAACAGGATGGTCTTGCTATGTCTGAGTAAATTTGGTGCATTTCAATCATCAGCTCATAGTTCGTTGCAGTACAGTTTGTTCATTTGACCTACATGTATTGCCCATATTTCATTATATATTTAGCACCTCTTTTTTTCCCCAGGCACCTGTAAAAATATTACTGATCCGAAGTATGCAGATTACTATTATCCCCACATAATTGAGGGTACTGTGCACTGTATCTCAAGATGTTTCAAAGGCGCTCAAGATTACATGAACTGCTTCAATGGTGTTTGCCAAGTCTCTGAAATAGGCCCCCACTGCATGTAAGTAAACAGGAGGAGGAGGAGTATCAAAGGAATCCTTAGATTCTACAACCCACCAACTACTTAAATCTTCATTAGTTACTAGTTCTAATAGGATACTCTTCCATCTTCCTAAATTTTTCTGCCTATAGAATCCCACATTTTCCATAAATTTCATGCCACAGCTGTTATAGTGTAATTTTCAAAATATATTCAACTTGTAGAATTTTAAGAAAAATGAAGAAAATGAGAAAAGCAGATAAAATGACCTATTTGGAATGCCAAATGAAATACAATGAAAGAAATCATGATATAGTTTGGTTGGTCCCAAAGGACTCCAACTCTCTTGGAGTGCTGAATCCACCATATAGCCTACAAGGGCTGAGTAATTTAAGGGATTGCAATATTTAGGAATGGAAGAGAAATGTGAAATTCGCTACATTTTAAAATGAGACAACTTCAAGAAAATTTTAAATGTTGTCTTCCCCTGATGTATGCAAGGATTTGGAATTTGATCATCTTGGAGAGTTTTAGTCTTTATTTCTTTAGAGGTTAAGTTAAAGTTGCTCAGAAATTCATTGCTGCATTGACAATCATGCAAATAGCTAGAAACCTGTTCTGGTTTTTACTTTGGAGAAGTTTTTTATAACCCATGTATGGATACAATTTATGTCACTTTATGACATGGACAGATTACTTTCTAATTACATGGAAACTCCCCACCAAAACCAACTGGTGCAGAAGGGAAGATCAACTAGAATGATCTCCCTAGGGATCTATTGATTTCCAACAGAAATTTGGAAAGTTTCCAAATAACCATGAAGGTAGTTCCACGGTGACTCTGAGTTCCCTAGGAAGAATTTGATGAACGTCCTGAAAGAAATTGCTTCCAAATAACTTCTCCATGTAAGCAAACTCAGGAGAATGTCATGGTTCAACACAAGAGATTCCCAAAACAATGAAGACATAAAATTAAGAACCGGCCTAGCCAAAGTTTGGTATAAACTCAAAGTTCTGCTTCCACTGTGCAATAACAATGGTGTCACTAATTCTCCAATCTTCATGTATCAGCAGACTGTTATGACAAGTTAATGCAATGCTTTCTGGTGTGTCCAATTTATTTTAGTAGAATACCACACAGCTCGCAAACCTTGCTTTGATTCCCAGTACTGGGTACTTTGTTGTTACCTACAAAGCTGTTTATGTTTGGTTCCTCAATTTCTGCAAGCCTATTTCCTCAAAGCAGACTTTTCCCAATCTATGCACTCCATGGAAATGTATCTGGTTTGAGTTGCTTTCTCTAGATGGCCTGGGTGCTGACAGAAAAACTGGAAGCTTTTTCCATAGCTATCTCAACTCTGGAATTCTGTTTTTCTATCCTGAAAAATTAGGATGGCTCCTTCCTAAGACACTAGAAGATACGTTGCAGAAATTTGACATCAGCATAGATCCTGAAAATTGTGGTTTAATGCCTACTCGTATTATATTACTTGGGTTTTATGTTTTCATGTTTAATTATTTTATAATTTTTCAATGAAGTTTTGATTTTGGGAGCTACTCAGAACCTTCTGAAGTGGGTAACCTTCTTTATAAATTTTTCTCTTTTTCATAGTTGCAATAATTCCGATGTGTTCTGGTACCTGGGTAGTTCCTGCCAAATGCCTGTCCAAAAGGCTGCCCTGGGCCTTGGACTTGCCCTGTCTGTGCTTTTTGTGGTCAGTACCATCCTGACTGTATTCCTCATCAGAAACAAGCAGAAGAAATCTAAGAAGAGGTAAGAAGTTAAGGTTGAAAATAGTAAGGTTGAAAATGGACCAAAGTCCATTTGACAGAAGATGATTTAATAATTTGGAATACCTGAACGTTTTCTGAGCAGTATAAGAGGACAATGTTTATTTTGGGTCATTTAAGAGATGAAAAGACTACCACTACCAATGAACCAAAGAGCTGGCAGCACAAAGTGGAGAAAAATGTTTCCAATTTCAATGTTTCTTTATTCCAATGATATATGTTTTTTTCTTGTAGATGGTTTGATGATGCTGAAGTCTGGTATGGACAAGAAACAGAAGAACAGTGGATACCATCTTCGAGCCTGACCATCATGAATAAATCAGCAGTTTCATCCTGGAATGGTAATTATTCATTCTATCATGAAGGAGATGAATTAGTGTCAAAGACAGACATTTAGCTATTGAAAGTCACAACTTTCTCTCCAGAGCAAGGATTCAAAGCTTTGATGAAAGCAAGGAACTATTATTTATGTACTCAGAAAGACCATATTTAGGGTGAGAGGGGCTTCATACCTACAACCAGTAGTTCATTTTATATTGCTTTGGATTTTTCTTTAGAACATCAAAAACAAAATGAAATCCTCAAACCATCTTTCAGCTCAGTAGATACTTCAATAAAGGTACATATAACTGAATGCATTTTTCCAACAGAAAGCAGATAATGTATGTGGTCTAATTTGGATAGGGATCAAAGCATATAGACTTATGAAATATGCAGTGTGTGTAGAATGAATTTTGTCTCATTCAGGATTGAATTCTGTTTTTCAATTTTGATTGGAACCATGTCAAAGACAAAAAAGTGACCCTTAATTGCAGCCTAATTTGAATAGCTAGCAATTCATCCTAACCAAAAGGATGAATCTTCTCTGTTTTAAGACATCTTCCATTATCATTTTTCAGTTCTGTAAATAATTAATTTAATTAAATCCTTATTATGTGGTGAGTTTCCTACATATATTTAATTAACTGATTAGCAAAAAGTTCCTTTATTTCTTCTGCTTGGTTGAGTGGCCTACAGTATGCACTTATGGCAATGACATTTTTTTCCTTTTATGTTGATCCATATGAATTCCAGAAGGCTTTCATCCTTTGTTATGTGCATGTCTGTAGTGAGGAAGTAATCTGTAACACAAAATGCAACTCCACCTCCTCTTTTGTTAGGTCTGTTTCTTTTGAATAGTTTGTATCCTTCTATCAATACATTCCAGTCATGAGTTTCATCCCGCCAAGTTTCTGTAATGGCAACTATATCATACTTGCCCTTAAATTCACCCTGTTTCTCCCCTGAACTTTGGGCATTAGTTTATAGGCATTTAAGTTGACCCTGGATGTACTTCCTACATCTCCTACTTTGCATCTGAGTTTTTCTTTTCTTTACTACTTACCTCCTTATTTGATTGGTTATCTAGTGGTATATGCTTGGAATTAGGACCTAAGTGATCCAGCCCGGCAGGATTTGGGGGGAACAATTGTAGGGACCCCAAGGAAGGAAGAATGAGGTATCTCAGTGGGTCAGGGGAGGCCTTCGATGGTCTGAAGCAGGTGGCCTGTTCCATCACTTATGACCTTCCCCATCCTGAGATATCTCATGTGCAGTTAGCAACCCATACATTCTATTATCAGTGAAAGGAGAGAGTGACCGTGTTCAAGGTACACCATTCACTCCTACAAATCCTTGGGTTATGAATAGAACAGGCAGGCTCCATTACATTTGTAACTTGAGGACTACCTGTAGATGAAAATGTCACTAGAATGCCTAATTCCTTAATTTTTTTCCTAGCTGTTTGTTACATCTTGTTATTGTTTTCAAGTCCATTGTGTCATCCGTCCCCATGTATAGGGAAAGAAAGAGTAGTAATCCATGGGGTTGATTCTCTTAGTATGGCTCTCAATTACATTTTTGCTCCAGGGACAACATATCTGCCTAGATTGACTGTCCGTTCTGCAGACTATAGTTTCTGTTCCCTAAGAATTGAACCTCCTATCATCAATATTTGCTTTTTTTCCATAGGGAAGTATGGGATATTTTTGTTCCTATCATAGGAATGCTGGGTTGTGCCTCTTTTTTAGAAATGACTATTGATGACTTCTCTTTTATAGATGTCTGCATATTTTCTTCCAGGGGGAACTATGAAAATGATTGTTCAGTTGCAGAAGAGTTCATTCAGCTAGGGTAGACAGAAGGGGCTTTGCTCTTGGTTGTTGTTTTCTTCTAAAAGTGATGTGTTTCTATCTCTCTTTCTCTTTAGGTTCATATAGGGTCATTTTTATGGAAGCAGCTTGTTCTCTATTGTGTTCAATTTGGATGTATTGGTTTTCTTCTTTAGGTTCATATATGGAGTCATTTTTTTAGAAGCTGTTGCTCCCTATTGTGCTAAATTTTGGTGTCGTTGAGGCCCTCTGTGATTGTTGGAAAAAAATGAAAGGGAATTCAACAATTTCTCACTCAATAGTACTGTTAGGGCATTTCTATATAGAAGTGGCCTATATGATGCCTGATCAAGTCCTGCAGTTTTCTGACAAAATTTTTCAGAAGGGATTTCCCATTGCTTCCTTCTTCTTAGGGCTGAAAGCAAATGACTGGTCCAAAGTCACCAAATTGGCTTTATGCCTAAGACAGGATTAGAACTCAAGTCCCTCTTTTTAACTCAGTGCAATTAATCACTTCTGTACAGTATTCCTATCATAGTTATTAATTACATGTAAATAGATACATACTTCTATTTTGATTTCTGTTTTCTCCTTTTCCATATTTTTAGACTGTAAATCTGAAAGCTGAGATTGTCTTATTGTCATACATAAGCTGTCTAAGAGTCTTTTTAGCTAAAGAATTAGCTAGAAATATTTTAGCTAAACAAAGATGACAATAATGTATTAGTACATTAACTAATACCTATCAATTATCAAAATCAATACAGATAAATTAGTATACATTAAATTACAATTTTACATTTGTTAATAAACTTCATGTTGTTAGTTTTTTTGAAGATGTCATTCCAACTCCACCCCTACACCCCTACACCCCCCCCCCCAAATTGAAGGCAAGTAAAATAACAAGAAAGTATGATATACAGTATATTTTTCTTACTATTTTCATGCTAGCAGCAGCAAAATATCTATGTTTAGATTTCATAATTTTCTAAAGAAGATTACATTTCCACCAGGCCTACAATATATAGAAGTGAACTTGCTCCTTTTTAATTTGAAAGGAAGGTTTCCTCATGATGACCTAGGGGGCGTGCATAAGCACACCAATGTGCCTACTGTCCCTGTCCTATTGTTTCTTTTTATTTTTCTTATATTTATCCATTTCATATATTCATAATTATGTTTATACTTATACCTGTTATCTTATAATTGCTTGACTAAATAAATAAATAAATAAGTGAATAGATAGATAGATAGATAGATAGATAGATAGATAGATAGATAGATAGATAGATAGATAGATAAGATAGATGGCACCCATTATCATCATAGGATATAATTTGCCAGACTATTGTTGGGAATGGTGACTGTTGAACAGTTCTTACAATCACGGGCAATAATTAAAATATGTTTTGGTTGTCTCCAGATTGAACTTGCTAATGGTCTTCTACACACACACACACACAGATATTTTTCCCTGTTTTATTAAACTTATGACTATTACCTAACTGAGCAAAGTACCTGAGTTGCAGAAATGCAGATGATCACAAGAGATCAGCAAACAGACAGAAAGGTCTCTTTTCAACATCTAGTTGTGGTAGGTCTAATAACATAGTTATATATTGCTGTCATATGGTTTAAAAGAGCAAGCTTAGTCTCAAACAAATCCTTCTTTCTCATAGAAATAAATTTATATTTCTTTTTTGCAACTGTATTTCCAGAAACCAGCAAGAGCAACTAACTACCGATTTCCTGCTGAGACACTTTCTGCATCTTTTTCTTCAGTAGCTGAGATGAATTAGCTTCTTAACAATTGTCTCAAATATCTACCAATAGACTGATGTGCTGGCAAGAATGCTTATATTCCCAATTACCTTATGTCTTAAATTGTCTGTTAATAAGAAAAAGAAACTATTTATTGGCTATTGCATAAAAGAACCAGTTAAGAATGAATAAAATTGTTTACATGAAAAATCATAACAGCATTTTTTGAAAAAAAAAATATTGTATTATATTTCATGCAAAAGCACTATATTAAATTGCAGATTATATTGTATTTAAATGTGTGGGTAATCCTCGACAGTTCACTTAGTGACTGAAGTTAGAACAGCACTGAAAAATGCCTTAGGAGTGTTTTTCACACTTATGGCCATCGTAGCATCTCCATAGTCTTATAATCAAAATTTAGATTTTCAGCAATAGATTCACTATGATGGTTGCAGTGTCCTAGGGTCATGTGATCACCTTTTGAGTTCTTCTGATAAGCACAATTAATGTGGAAGCAAGATTCACTTTATTACATTATTAACTTAACAACTGCAGTGATCCATTTAACAAGTCTGGCAAGAAAGGTTGTAAAATGAGGCAAAATTAACATCAGATTCGCTTAGCCACAGAAATTTTGGGCTCAGTTGTGATTGTAAGTTGAGGACTATCTGTTGTCAACCGATACATACTGTATTAATTTAATTTAGATTAGCAGATCTAAATTTACTAGGCAAAGCAAAGCAAAATTGACTAGTGTGGAAAGGAAACTTCACGACGACAGTGGTGTCACCCAAGCAGGAAAAGCCCAAAGGGAACATCAAGCCAGCCATAAAACAAACTTGCATAGGAAAAGGAATCAAATAAAAGGTATTAAAGAAGCCCCTTAGACAAAAGCCCAAATAATTAAGAAAACTAGGGAAACAAGAAAAGAAAACATGCCAAATCAACAAAACAAACAGACAAAAGACACAAAATATATTGCAAAGGAGACAAATAGGAGATTGCCACAAAACAAATATAAGAAAACATTAGGACAAAACTGATAATCCAATCAAACCACCCTGCGGAGTTTACCCTCCGGCGGAAATGAAGACAACCCCTGATAGGATTTAAAACATTAAGAAATACAAACACAAGCACTCACACACGAAAGGAGAAAAAAGTATAAAAATCAGGGGCTTATCATACAAAGCTAGCTAGCCCCAGGAATGCAGACTTCTTGCTATCTCTCGCCTTCCTGAAAAATAAAAAGATCCAGCTTTCAAGCAGTTGTCTGTATCCTTGCACCAGAGCTCTCCCAGCAGGAAAATCGAATCCTCAGAAGAAAGGCATTTTGACAGCCTTTCAACACTAGCTTTTGCTAAAAATATTTATTTATCAAATTTATTGGTTGCTCATCTTTATGATAAAAATAAGAACAATAAAAAAGAATATAAACAAATTCTTTTTCAGCTTGATAAAAACTGTAAACAGAACCCAACTTTTCTCATACTTTTTCAATTTTTTTGGAAAGATAAACTTAGCCATCAATAGATCTTTATGGTGATGAGTGGGAGGAAGATTAATAACTCTTGAAGAAAGTTACCAAAATTGTATGTATTCCAGCTAAACCTTCCCAAGTTTGGTGCCCTCTGTAATGTTGGGCTGTAATTTGCATTCTCCTCAACCAGCAAGTTTATGCCTGATTTTCAGAACTAACAAAAATGCCTTAGCAAATAAACTGCAATATCAATAGAAATCTGATTGTACCAAATCTGCTCTCTGAAACTGGAATATATAATTTATTTATTTTTAAAAACTCCAAAAACCCTACATTATTAACTGCATATATTTAAGATATAATATTCCCATAGATACTTACTTATTAACCCAATTATATTAATATTAATTTAATATATGTATACTTTATATAGTAATAAAACAGTTAAAAATGAAATTTTACAATTTTTATGGAGTAATATACATACACATGCTTGGCTTTACAAGACGAGTTAGAAAGACCTGCACATCGATTAGAGAACAAACAAAAGTATATGATATCATCAAGATAGTAAAATAATTGAAATGGAAATGGGCTGGTCACATAACAAGAAGACCAAGGCAGCTATACATGGATCCCATTTGATAAAAAGCATCCACGAAAATGACCTTAAACAAGATGGATTGATGACATCAGCAAGTATTGCAGGCTCAACTTGCAAAAGGAAATTCAGGACTGTATTGGTTGGAAACATGCAGAAGAGGCCTTCATCCTGCAGTGGATTGACAATGGCTAAAATAATGGTGATGGTGATTGATGATGAGTTTTGCAACAATAATTCAGCGCCAGAAAAATAAACACAGATGGCTGATACCTCATTTATTTATTTTTTTAAATAAATTTTATTGAATTTACAGTTTAAAAACATATCAACAGTACATTTACAGAATAGAAAAAATGGCTAAAGGGAAAGAAAGAAAACACCCGGCCTAACAAGCCAGATAGGGGCTTAGAGGAACCCATGGAAAAAGGACATAATCTAATAAAAGAATTAGAACAATTCGGTTCAGTAGCAGGACTAAAGATTAACAGAAATAAGACAAAACTAATGACCAAAAATCTAACAGAGAATCAGAGGAAAGAATTAGAAAAAATCATAGGGATACAGGCAACAAAAAAGGTCAAATACTTAGGCATATGGTTAACACCACAAAGTAAATCGATTAAAGAGAATAATTACGATAAACTACTACAACAAATTAAGAAAGACTTAGAATCCTGGAATAAGCTGTAGCTTTCCCTACTGGGCAGGATTGCCACGATCAAAATGAACATTCTACCAAAATTTCTTTATTTATTCCAGAAAATTCCAATTAAATTACCAAAAAAAATTTTTTTGAAGATATAAATAGGTTACCTCTTAAATTTATTTGGCAAGGGAAAAAAGCTAGGATCAATATTAAGGCCTTACAAGAAGCAAAAAGTAGAGGGGGACTAGCGCTCCCAAATTGGGAATTATATTATTTGGCAGCCATCTTATTATGGATAAAAGACTGGGTAAATTTACTTAATAAAAGAACCTTAGCTTTAGAAGGGCACAATCTTCAGAGAGGGTGGCACTCATTTTTATGGGAAGTGGGGAAAACTAAACAGTCGTACTTTCATAGACACCTTACTAGAGATTCATTATTAACCAACTGGAAAAAAATATGCAAAAAACACTATTTAAAAATTCCGAATTGGCTTTCAACAATGGAGGCAATGATACATCCCAACAATTTGGATATAACGAAAATGATTAAATATAAAGATTTATTAGACCCTCTAGGAAAATTAAGAACTCGACAGGATTTACAGGAACAGGGATTTAAAATCGACCAATGGTTATACATACAAATCCATAGCAGATACAAACAAGATATTAAAGAGTTTGGAATCTATAGCAAATTACAATATTTAGATAAAATCTTATTAGGATCAAATAAAAATAATATTTCTAAATTTTATAAAAACTTATTGGAGGTAGAATTAGAGCAAAAGATAGTGAAAGGGAACATGATAGCATGGAGCAGGAATATTGGAAGAAGCATTACATTAACAGAATGGGAAAAGATTTGGAATAGAAACATCAAAATTACAAAATCGGTGCCGTACAAAGAAAATATATATAAAATGTTATAGAGATGGCACTTACCCCCTTTGAGGTTGGCGAAGATGAACCCTAACATGAGTTCAAGGTGTTGGAAATGTAAAAGCACTGAAGGAACTTTTTTCCACACGTGGTGGTCTTGTAAAACTATCCAAAAATTTTGGCAAAAAATCAGAAAATGGTTGGAAGAGATAACTAAAGAACAAATAGACTATAAACCAGAGTTCTTCCTGCTAGGGATTTCTGATAGATATCTATCCAAGAAGACAAAATATGTAATAGTCCATATTTTAACTGCGGCTAGATTAGCGTTTGCTCAATGTTGGAAATCACCTCATACACCTACAGAGCAAATGGTCATTCAGAAAATATGTGAGTGTGCTGAAATGGATAAACTAACTATAGCTCTAAAAAACAAAGAGTCCTCAACAATTTACAACAACTGGGATTCTTGGTATAATTGGCTTATACAGAGACAAATTGTGTAAATGATATAGAGTAACTTAGACATAATGGAAAAGAGGAGTAGATCTGATACGACAAAGAGAAATGACCCTTACAGACTGTCACAAAAAGATATTGTTGGCTGATACCTCATTTAACATCTTTATGAACATAAGTAGATTTAACAAACCAGTTGTAGATTTCTCCAACATGGAGCAAACTCAAACAGAAACATGTTGCAAGTTCAGAGCAGAGCTCCAGTCTTTAGCAAGCAAGCAAGTTAATTTCATCTTCAATAGACAGACTCAGAGCTTAACATAGCTGCAGAGTTGCAGAACCTAACATAGAGCCACACCTAGGCTACTTTTAGTTTCAGTTTCCAAACTATCCTTATTGGCTGATTTAGTTGCTATGCCTATTCATTGGCTGACCTTGTTGCCATGCTCTACTCCAGTTCATGAATATATTCTGACATGATACATGAAAGATAAGTAATGTGAAACATTAATAAACCTATTTTTAAAGAACTAGTCAGCCATAACACCCTGTGGAAAAAAAATTGTAGCAATGATTGTTAAGGAAACTGCAGATTTCCTTCTAGCAGAAATTCAATATATAATATTGAGGATTTGGTCAGCATGAAGACACTTACAATATTTTTTTTAATGAGGAATTCATATGTTCCCAATAAAAATGGTGTTGGAAGCAATATCCTTCTGTGTTCAGTTCCAAGCGGGGAAAAAGACACTGGATTCATGGAAGTTGCTTGGGAAGAAGGTTTAATGGTGGACTGGACAACATGCCTGGGAGCTCCTGGGCAAAAAGGGATGCTGAGAATCCCTTGGTTTCATACGCTCTGTTGGGCCCCACCTTAGTGTTTCCTGTTCTTGTGCAAGAAATGTATCCCATTGGCTATCAGACTCCCAGGGGCAGGGGTCTTAGCTAACTTCGTAGACTTTGTC